TTACAATAATTTTTTGGTAAATAGACATACCCCCGAAATCACACTCATTTTCGAGAAAAAAATTCCTTACCGAAAATCTAATGTGAGGCTAGAAATGGTCCCCCAAAATTTCATATGAATCTTTAAAACGTCATAACTTCTGAACAGATTGGAGGATTTTAATTTTCCAAGATGCAATCAACGCGTATTTTGATGAAGAATATATGAAAATTCCAAAAATATTCGAAAACTTATTCCTTAACTCCGCAAGATGGGAAAAACCCCATAAAAATGGTCTAATTTTCAAACAGCCATAACTCCTACAATAATGAATATATTTCAATGAAACTTTTTTCTGAGGTAGAACTCATGGGTACCTACAAAAAAAGTAGTAGACAACTTTTTTATAGTGCGTCAAACAAAATTACTAAAAATGAAAAATGAATTTTTAAGAAAAATCGGGTAGGTGCCTAAATTTGGCGAAAAAAAAAATTTCGAATCGTTCTGGAAAAATTATTTTCGATTGCAGGAGTCAATTACAATAATTTTTGGTAAATAGACATACCCCCGAAATCACACTCATTTTCGAGAAAAAAAATTCCTTACCGAAAATCTAATGTGAGGCTAGAAATGGTCCCCCAAAATTTCATATGAATCTTTAAAACGTCATAACTTCTGAACAGATTGGAGGATTTTCATTTTCCAAGATGCAATCAACGCGTATTTTGATGAAGAATATATGAAAATTCCAAAAATATTCGAAAACTTATTCCTTAACTCCGCAAGATGAGAAAAACCCCATAAAAATGGTCTAATTTTCAAACAGCCATAACTCCTACAATAATGAATATATTTCAATGAAACTTTTTTCTGAAGTAGAATTCATGGGTACCTACAAAAAAATAGTAGACAACTTTTTTATAGGACGTCAAACAAAATTACTAAAAATGAAAAACGAATTTTTAAGAAAAATCGGGTAGGTGCCTAAATTTGGCGAAAAAAAAAATTTCGAATCGTTCTGGAAAAATTATTTTCGATTGCAGGAGTCAATTACAATAATTTTTGGTAAATAGACATACCCCCGAAATCACACTCATTTTCGAGAAAAAAAATTCCTTACCGAAAATCTAATGTGAGGCTAGAAATGGTCCCCCAAAATTTCATATGAATCTTTAAAACGTCATAACTTCTGAACAGATTGGAGGATTTTCATTTTTCAAGATGCAATCAACGCGTATTTTGATGAAGAATATATGAAAATTCCAAAAATATTCGAAAACTTGTTCCTTAACTCCGCAAAATGAGAAAAACCCCATAAAAATGGTCTAATTTTCAAACAGCCATAACTCCTACAATAATGAATATATTTCAATGAAACTTTTTTCTGAAGTAGAATTCATGGGTACCTACAAAAAAATTGTAGACAACTTTTTTTTAGGACGTCAAACAAAATTACTAAAAATGAAAAACGAATTTTTAAGAAAAATCGGGTAGGTGCCTAAATTCGGCGAAAAAAAAAATTTCGAATCGTTCTGGAAAAATTATTTTCGATTGCAGGACTCAATTATAATCATTTTTTGTGAATAGACATACCCCCGAAATCATACTCATTTTCGAGAAAAAAATTCCTTACCGAAAATCTAATGTGAGGCTAGAAATGGTCCCCCAAAATTTCATATGAATCTTTAAAACGTCATAACTTCTGAACAGATTGGAGGATTTTCATTTTTCAAGATGCAATCAACGCGTATTTTGATGAAGAATATATGAAAATTCCAAAAATATTCGAAAACTTGTTCCTTAACTCCGCAAAATGAGAAAAACCCCATAAAAATGGTCTAATTTTCAAACAGCCATAACTCCTACAATAATGAATATATTTCAATGAAACTTTTTTCTGAGGTAGAACTCATGGGTACCTACAAAAAAGTAGTAGACAACTTTTTTATAGGGCGTCAAACAAAATTACTAAAAATGAAAAATGAATTTTTAAGAAAAATCGGGTAGGTGCCTAAATTTGGCGAAAAAAAAATTTCGAATCGTTCTGAAAAAATTATTTCCAATTCCGAGGGTCAATTACAATAATTTTTTGTTAATAGACATACCCCCGAAATCACACTCATTTTCGAGAAAAAAAATTCCTTACCGAAAATCTAATGTGAGGCTAGAAATGGTCCCCCAAAATTTCATATGAATCTTTAAAACGTCATAACTTCTGAACAGATTGGAGGATTTTCATTTTTCAAGATGCAATCAACGCGTATTTTGATGAAGAATATATGAAAATTCCAAAAATATTCGAAAACTTATTCCTTAACTCCGCAAGATGAGAAAAACCCCATAAAAATGGTCTAATTTTCAAACAGCCATAACTCCTACAATAATGAATATATTTCAATGAAACTTTTTTCTGAGGTAGAACTCATGGGTACCTACAAAAAAGTAGTAGACAACTTTTTTATAGTGCGTCAAACAAAATTACTAAAAATGAAAAATGAATTTTTAAGAAAAATCGGGTAGGTGCCTAAATTTGGCGAAAAAAAAAATTTCGAATCGTTCTGGAAAAATTATTTTCGATTGCAGGAGTCAATTACAATAATTTTTGGTAAATAGACATACCCCCGAAATCACACTCATTTTCGAGAAAAAAAATTCCTTACCGAAAATCTAATGTGAGGCTAGAAATGGTCCCCCAAAATTTCATATGAATCGTTAAAACGTCATAACTTCTGAACAGATTGGAGGATTTTAATTTTCCAAGATGCAATCAACGCGTATTTTGATGAAGAATATATGAAAATTCCAAAAATATTCGAAAACTTATTCCTTAACTCCGCAAGATGAGAAAAACCCCATAAAAATGGTCTAATTTTCAAACAGCCATAACTCCTACAATAATGAATATATTTCAATGAAACTTTTTTCTGAAGTAGAATTCATGGGTACCTACAAAAAAATTGTAGACAACTTTTTTATAGGACGTCAAACAAAATTACTAAAAATGAAAAACGAATTTTTAAGAAAAATCGGGTAGGTGCCTAAATTCGGCGAAAAAAAAATTTCGAATCGTTCTGGAAAAATTATTTTCGATTGCAGGACTCAATTATAATCATTTTTTGTGAATAGACATACCCCCGAAATCATACTCATTTTCGAGAAAAAAATTCCTTACCGAAAATCTAATGTGAGGCTAGAAATGGTCCCCCAAAATTTCATATGAATCTTTAAAACGTCATAACTTCTGAACAGATTGGAGGATTTTCATTTTTCAAGATGCAATCAACGCGTATTTTGATGAAGAATATATGAAAATTCCAAAAATATTCGAAAACTTATTCCTTAACTCCGCAAGATGAGAAAAACCCCATAAAAATGGTCTAATTTTCAAACAGCCATAACTCCTACAATAATGAATATATTTCAATGAAACTTTTTTCTGAAGTAGAATTCATGGGTACCTACAAAAAAATTGTAGACAACTTTTTTTTAGGACGTCAAACAAAATTACTAAAAATGAAAAACGAATTTTTAAGAAAAATCGGGTAGGTGCCTAAATTCGGCGAAAAAAAAAATTTCGAATCGTTCTGGAAAAATTATTTTCGATTGCAGGACTCAATTATAATCATTTTTTGTGAATAGACATACCCCCGAAATCATACTCATTTTCGAGAAAAAAAATTCCTTACCGAAAATCTAATGTGAGGCTAGAAATGGTCCCCCAAAATTTCATATGAATCTTTAAAACGTCATAACTTCTGAACAGATTGGAGGATTTTAATTTTCCAAGATGCAATCAACGCGCATTTTGATGAAGAATATATGAAAATTCCAAAAATATTCGAAAACTTATTCCTTAACTCCGCAAGATGAGAAAAACCCCATAAAAATGGTCTAATTTTCAAACAGCCATAACTCCTACAATAATGAATATATTTCAATGAAACTTTTTTCTGAGGTAGAACTCATGGGTACCTACAAAAAAGTAGTAGACAACTTTTTTATAGTGTGTCAAACAAAATTACTAAAAATGAAAAATGAATTTTTAAGAAAAATCGGGTAGGTGCCTAAATTTGGCGAAAAAAGAATTTCGAATCGTTCTGGAAAAATTATTTTCGATTGCAGGACTCAATTATAATCATTTTTTGTGAATAGACATACCCCCGAAATCATACTCATTTTCGAGAAAAAAATTCCTTACCGAAAATCTAATGTGAGGCTAGAAATGGTCCCCCAAAATTTCATATGAATCTTTAAAACGTCATAACTTCTGAACAGATTGGAGGATTTTCATTTTTCAAGATGTAATCAACGCGTATTTTGATGAAGAATATATAGAAATTCTAAAAATATTCGAAAAGTTGTTCCTTAACCCCGTGAAATGACAAAAACCCCATAAAAATGGTCTAATTTTCAAACAGCCATAACTCCTACAATAATGAATATATTTCAATGAAACTTTTTTCTGAAGTAGAATTCATGGGTACCTACAAAAAAATAGTAGACAACTTTTTTATAGGACGTCAAACAAAATTACTAAAAATGAAAAATGAATTTTTAAGAAAAATCGGGTAGGTGCCTAAATTCGGCGAAAAAAAAAATTTCGAATCGTTCTGGAAAAATTATTTTCGATTGCAGGAGTCAATTATAATCATTTTTTGTGAATAGACGTACCCCCGAAATCCTAACCATTCTCGAGAAAAAAATTCAGTATGTGGACAAATTTTTAGACAAAATTGAAAACTTTCGAATCGTTTTGAAAAAATTATTTTTGGTTGCGGGAGCCAATTACAATCATTTTTGGTCCATAGACGTACCCCCGAAATCCTGCGCATTTTCGAGAAAAAAATTCAGTACGGGCGAAACTTTAAATGTTAAAAACTTTTTAACGTAGCCTCCATCAACAAATTGGTATTCTTTATTTTCGCCCTATTTTGGCCTCTAGAATCTTCCATTACAATTTTTTCCCAGGGATGGCCGAACACCCTGTATATAATTTGCTTATTAATAAAATCTAGCTATTCCGGGAATACGTAATTGGCAAAAACGTATGTGGAAAACTACGAAAAGTTTCGTCGATTATCGTAACAATGTAAATCTAGAAGATCTTCAAGCAATACCTACTGATCCTAAATTTGCCAAAGATGATGCATATATGTTTGATAGCCGAAATTATTTTCTGAAAACTGTAACTGCTAACATAACTGAGACTCAGCAATTAAGTGTTGCAATATCTAGACTACAAGGACTCATGAATAGGTACATAGATTTCTTTTAGATTACATCTAGGATTACAGCGAATACATTTTTAACTTTCCTGTGTTTTCAATATTTAGTTTACGTAAGGTGTCTTTGGTGTGTATGAAAAAAAGTCGTGAATTTGAGCGTGCGTTAGCAGTTAAAATTATTATGCTTGCACCATTCGCACCACACTTTGCATCAGAATTATGGGCAGCGTTCTGTTCTGCTAAACATCACCTTATAAGTGAAAATGAAGTAAGATTGGATAAGGATGTTATGGAACAAGACTGGCCAGAGATAGACTTAGATTATAAAATGACATTAAATGTACATGTAAGTCCAGTTATGTGTACATATTGCAAGATGTCTGTTTTATCTGAAAATGTAAAATATTTCAAAAAGTACTATAGAGAAAGAAAAAATGTTTTAACAAAAGTTGTTCATTTTTTTTTGTCTGTGAAAGAATGAAGATTTCAAGGTCAAGTTAGTTTTTTTAAACGGAATATAACATAGTACAAATTATCTATATTTATATCTTTAATTTCTTCTATTTGCATTTTCAGATAAGATAAACACCCTGTATATGTGTTACATGTTTCTATAATATTTACACATTTGTATAAATCGATAATTTTATTTTTGTTAGATAGTTACGTAAATGATTAACAATTAATAGAAATCAAAATACTTAATTATTACCATGTATTTACACCATATGAATAAGTTTGTATGACATTACTGACTACGTTACTTTTACATAATTAGATAAATGGGGAATGCCATAAAAAGATTAAAATACCTAAATACAAATTGGATAAATTGCTAGTCGATGAAGCCTTGGACTCGATGATGAACGATCCAGAAATCCAACGACGTTTGGTGAACAAAAAGATCGTTGAGACTAAACTTCTTTCAAAGGCAGGCTGTGATTCAACAATGTACATCGTTACAGAAAAACTTAAAGAAACTATAACAACATAAAACTTTCATAAAATCAGTAGTAAGTGTAAAAAGGAAATGCAAATTGAAAATACTATTAAAGTATCCTTTATGAAATTTGTTATATTATAGTGTGTAATATTAAAATATAAGACTGTGTACATGATGAAACTAATTATATAAGTATTTTTTTACTATCGAGTGAAACTAAACAAACTAGTATCGAACAACTATTCTTACCCAATATCATATTCTCCATTGTACTCGTTGTGAGGTATTGTTTCTAAGAATTTAATATAATCGCAAGGTAATTGATTTTCTTGCGCTCCTTTCAATATTGTTCCTCTGTATTGAAATTAAGTTTAAAATAATACTTTAATTAAAATTAAATGATACTTTTACAATACATTTTAACCGAATTAAAATATTCGAGTAAATAAAACATACATATACAATGGCGAAGGTCTTCTGTGAGATGGTAATAAACGTAATTTCATGTGGTCGTCTGGATTATTACATTGCTGGTATACTCTACAGTTTAAAACATTGCCGTTAGGCGTTTCTACTTCAACCATTAGAGGAAAGTACAATTTATCTGCAACACCTTCTTGACAATCTAATGTAGGAAGGTTGTCTTTATGTAATTCCCAAATCACTCCCCATACCTTATAACGTTCTGTTGGAACAATTGTCGCAGAGCATCCACCCCATCTCTTTGAATGAGTTAGGAAGTCGAGTCTGAAATTCTATACAAATCAGTGTTGCACAAAATAAAATTTAGTAAATACAAATAATATAAGAAAAACCCTATAACAAGTATAATACAATGTTAAAAATTAAAATGGTATTGTACAGTCAGTCAACAAAGTCTCTGTGCGCCGCACTAAGATTTATTGAACTATATTAGACAAGAATGAGGTCAAAAATAAATAATTTTTATGTTATTATATTCGGAAACATAACATTTATTATTAGTGGCAAAGGAAAGGGCATACATCCATTCATCGATGGAATATAATGGACGAAAGCACAAACGTAACAAAAATGTGGTCAAAAAAGTCTCCGTACAAAGAAGTATTCAACAGTCTAGTTCTATGAATTTTGCAGAATGTTTACAAACAAAACTGGAACGCATATTGTGCGTATTTTCTTTAAAATGGAAATGCCTGTTGCGATTCGAGAGTTAACTGTTGAATTAAGAAAAGAAGGTGCAACGTTGAAGAAAATTGTGCAAATTGTAAAATAGTCATCTTCTACCGTGCAATATATTTGCCAGAGATACAATTAAACAGGATCAAATCAAAATCGAAGACGTACAGGGAGACTCACAAAAATTAGAATCACACCATAAGCGTGCCATTATAAGAACAATTAGATCTGATCCACGGACTAGTGATCCAAAAGTGGCATCAACGATAGAAACTGATTATAATATAGAAGTAGTGCTTGAGACAATACGAAATGTAATAAGGAAAACAGGGTACAATGGCCGTACGGCTAGGCAAAAACCTTTTATAAGCTAAGCTAATAAACAGAAGCGATTAGAATTCGCATATTTATATATTAACGAAGACCAAAACTTATGGAATAATGTAATATTCAATGATGAAAGTATATCCACTATTTTTAATTCAGATGGAAAGAATAAAGTTTGGACAAAACCAAACACGTAAATAGAACCTAAACATTTGTATCCAACATTTAAACATGAAGGCGGCTGTGTGATGGTTGGGGGGTGTATGAGTGCTGCTGGAGTTGGATACATGACATTTATTGATGGTACTATGGATCAAAATGTTTATTTGAACATTTTGAAAGAAAATTTGACCCGTACTGTATTAAAATTAAATTTAGAAGGGTCGTTTATCTTCCAACAAGATAACGATCCTAAGCATATGGCGAAGAAAGTAAAAGAATGGTTACTGTATAATATCCCAAAGCAGCTTCATACATCTCCCCAATCATCCGACGTGAATCCTAATGAACATTTATGGGGTGAAATGAAAAGAAAATTTAAAAAGTACAATATTAAAACAAGAAAGATTTGAAATCCAAAATACTATTAGAATGGAATAACTAAACTAAAGGGTGGACCCACTAATCACTAATTGAAAAACTATAGTTAATAAATTTATATGTACGGAGACTTTTTTTACCACATTTTTGTTACATTTGTGTTTTCGCCCATTATATTCCGTTAATAAATGAATTTATGCCCTTTCCTTTCTTACTAATAATAAATGTTATGTTTCTGAATATAATAACGTAAAAATTATTTATTTCTGACCTCCTTCTTAACCAATATACAACATTCAATAAATCTTAGTGCGGTGTACGGAGATTTGGAACATTCCTAGCAAACGGCCCGTTCACCGATCGGGGTGAGTTATACGTCATTCGATTCGTCTAATTCAATACATTATTGATATGCATTTCATTATCTGCGGAAATTCGTTATTTTTTTATAAACTTGTCGTAAAGTTACAGTAAAAAAGTAAGGTAAGGTACATTTTTTGACAGGTTCACAGATAGAAACAAGTGACTATCGTTGCTATGTTCATGTTACAAATATAAATGATTGATCTAATTTGATAATGCTACATTGCTGAACGGGAATTTGTAGAATGCGTATGCATAAAAATCATTTTGTTACGGATAGACTTTGCATGAGTCGGTCAGGTAGACAGTATGTGCCGCAACAATTCCCCTTCCCAACAGTGCTTACGGGTAGAGAATATAATAAATTACTATTGTATGCAGTGCGTTGGATTAACTTTTTTTTATTATTAAATGTCATTATCATCTAGGTCTGGTATATTTTGGTTTTCTGTAGAATCAAATGAAATTTCTGCAATTTCTTTTAATAGCTGGTTAAATAAATCATCCTTTCCTTGCTTGGAAAATTTGTAAAATACGTAGTGGCTTAAATACCCAATGAAATTATCTTTTTTGCTAAAAATAGAAAATTTTATGGTATATGTTACAGAAAATATTAAAAGACGTGCAAAATTAAAAATACTAACCGACAATATTCAGGCAAAAAGTGTTTACTATGCCTCCACGTAGTTTCTATCGTATTTGTACGAGCGCCTGTTTCTGGGTCTTTGAAATGTAAGCTGTGATTTACGGTAAGATGTTTGTACCCCTCTTTCTCTAAGATGTTATAGGCTTTCTAACAATCTGAAATAATTGTTGTGCCAGGCAACACCCATTGTTTAATTATTGAAAGCAGGGACTCTGTGTCCCTACATTCAACAGGCACCAGGAATATTTTTCCACTTCCTCTTTCTATTCCTCCAAAAACCCATTGTCCCTCTACACGATGACCTCTGTGATATTTTCTTCGTCCGAACTTAGATTCGTCTATTTCTACTATTTTGCCTGGTCCGCCAAGTACTTCGCATGAATGTTGTAGCCAATCAGTCATAACTTGTTTTACAAAATAATTCCATTGAGAAACAGTATTTTTATATTCAATTGTAATTCTCGTACAATCTGATATTGATCAAAATTATGGACTAACGTGTAAGTTAATTTTAATACCATTTCATAAGAAAGCTTTGTTTTTGAAAACCACGTTCCATGTTTTACACATATTTTTACATCACAAGTTCGCTTTCGTTTGCAAGCACTAAGAGATGCTGCAATTGTTTTTCTACAACGCCAATTTTCATTGTCTAATTTCATTACGTTTCCACACTGTGGACAATTAAGATTTTTGTCAATCAACTTTTTATCTTGCAAAAATTTTAATAAAGCTTCTTTATTTTTACAAAATTCGTGCAATTTAAATAAGGTCTACACTTCTGGAACTACTAATTCGGTCATTTTTATAGCACGGTTGAACAAAATTCACAAAGTACAAGAAACAGAAGAAAATCAGAAATGACAGTTGAAACAAATGATTACTGAAACAATTTCTGCTTTTCTTCTGTTTCTTGTACTATCCGCAATGTGGAAATGTCATGAAAATTGGCAATGCAGGATAACTATTCCAGGATCTGTCGATCAAACTAAACGTAGAAGACATTGTAATATAAAGATATAACTTGTTTTACAAAATAATTCCATTGAGAAACAGTATTTTTATATTCAATTGTAATTCTCGTACAATCTGATATTGATCAAAATTATGGACTAACGTGTAAGTTAATTTTAATACCATTTCATAAGAAAGCTTTGTTTTTGAAAACCACGTTCCACGTTTTACACATATTTTTACATCACAAGTTCGCTGTCGTTTGCAAGCACTAAGAGATGCTGCAATTGTTTTTCTACAACGCCAATTTTCATTGTCTAATTTCATTACGTTTCCACACTGTGGACAATTAAGATTTTTGTCAATCAACTTTTTATCTTGCAAAAATTTTAATAAAGCTTCTTTATTTTTACAAAATTCGTGCAATTTAAATAAGGTCTACACTTCTGGAACTACTAATTCGGTCATTTTTATAGCACGGTTGAACAAAATTCACAAAGTACAAGAAACAGAAGAAAATCAGAAATGACAGTTGAAACAAATGATTACTGAAACAATTTCTGCTTTTCTTCTGTTTCTTGTACTATCCGCAATGTGGAAATGTCATGAAAATTGGCAATGCAGGATAACTATTCCAGGATCTGTCGATCAAACTAAACGTAGAAGACATTGTAATATAAAGATATAACTTGTTTTACAAAATAATTCCATTGAGAAACAGTATTTTTATATTCAATTGTAATTCTCGTACAATCTGATATTGATCAAAATTATGGACTAACGTGTAAGTTAATTTTAATACCATTTCATAAGAAAGCTTTGTTTTTGAAAACCACGTTCCACGTTTTACACATATTTTTACATCACAAGTTCGCTGTCGTTTGCAAGCACTAAGAGATGCTGCAATTGTTTTTCTACAACGCCAATTTTCATTGTCTAATTTCATTACGTTTCCACACTGTGGACAATTAAGATTTTTGTCAATCAACTTTTTATCTTGCAAAAATTTTAATAAAGCTTCTTTATTTTTACAAAATTCGTGCAATTTAAATAAGGTCCACACTTCTGGAACTACTAATTCGGTCATTTTTATAGCACGGTTGAACAAAATTCACAAAGTACAAGAAACAGAAGAAAATCAGAAATGACAGTTGAAACAAATGATTACTGAAACAATTTCTGCTTTTCTTCTGTTTCTTGTACTATCCGCAATGTGGAAATGTTATGAAAATTGGCAATGCAGGATAACTATTCCAGGATCTGTCGATCAAACTAAACGTAAAAGACATTGTAATATAAAGATATAACTTGTTTTACAAAATAATTCCATTGAGAAATAGTATTTTTATTCAATTGTAATTCTCGTACAATCTGATATTGATCAAAATTATGGACTAACATGTAAGTTAATTTTAATACCATTTCATAAGAAAGCTTTGTTTTTGAAAACCACGTTCCACGTTTTACACATATTTTTACATCACAAGTTCGCTTTCGTTTGCAAGCACTAAGAGATGCTGCAATTGTTTTTCTACAACGCCAATTTTCATTGTCTAATTTCATTATGTTTCCACACTGTGGACAATTAAGATTTTTGGCAGTCAACTTTTTATCTTGCAAAAATTTTAATAAAGCTTCTTTATTTTTACAAAATTCGTGCAATTTAAATAAGGTCCACACTTCTGGAACTACTAATTCGGTCATTTTTATAGCACGGTTGAACAAAATTCACAAAGTACAAGAAACAGAAGAAAATCAGAAATGACAGTTGAAACAAATGATTACTGAAACAATTTCTGCTTTTCTTCTGTTTCTTGTACTATCCGCAATGAGGAAATGTTATGAAAATTGGCAATGCAGGATAACTATTCCAGGATCTGTCGATCAAAGTAAACGTAAAAGACATTGTAATATAAAGATATTTGCAAAGCAAAGAACGTGGTTTTCTAAAAACAAACTCGGCTATAGATGTTTTAAAATTAACATATATACTAACATATAATTATGAGCAATGTCATATTATTATATAACTAAAATTAATTAAAAATACTGCTCAGCAATTGAAAGAGTAGAGTAGATTGTCGAGATCGATGAATCAATATTTTGTCATAGAAAATATCACAGAGGTCGCTTGAAAATTAATCACAGCGTCAGTTTTGAAGATCCCATTATTGATGCTTACACGAATTAAATTGAAACCACTTGGAGGCATGCTACACATTTTTTAATCTTTTTTATAACATATAATACTATCAATATTTTATATTTTTAAGAAGAGTAACTTCATCGAATGCCTGAGCCATTATGTATTTAGTAAATGTACCTAATAGAAAAATGGTGATTTATTCAATGAAATATTAGCAGAAATAGTAGAAATTTCATTCAATAAATGTTTAACAAATTAGCATTTGACTACCTAGCATTTTGAACAGAGTAACGACAGTCACTTGTTTCCACCTGTGGACTTGTCAAAATATACTTAACCTTACTTTTTTACTGTAACCTTACGACAAGTTTATAAAAAAATAACGAATTTCCGCAGATAATGAAATGCATATCAATAATGTATTGAATTAGACGAATCGAATGACGTATAACTCACCCCGATCGGTGAACGGGCCGTTTGCTAGGAATATACCCGGAGATTTTTTTGATTTACTGTATATAACATCTGCCCCAATAGTAGAATAAATATTCTATTACGAAAAATTATAGGGATGAAAGAAAAATATTGATAAATGAGGCATTCTTGATTGAAAAATAAACTGAAAAGAACGAAGTAAACGAAAAATATGTAGTATTAATTCATGTATGTACCTTTAAAATACCAATGTCCTTACGTACAGCAGTTGGATTATTAATATGTATTCTTTTCATTAACATATTGCTTCCATACGCAAAATACAAAAATTTCTTACACATTTTACTAAATTACTTTAACAACTATTTAAATTATTTGGAACCACTATTGGTCGACATGAGCTAATAAATAGGTTAAGATATCGTTTTGTACCGATGTTTATGGATGCATACAAAAGATAAAAGAGATAATTAAACGCTGTAAGTAAATAAGAATTATTTACACTTTCAATAAGATTTTAATTGATAAGACGATCATAAATTGAAAATAAAAGTTCTTTATGACGATTCATACAAGTTTATTCTGTTATGAATTTTTTGCGAGAATGACGAATGGGAACAGTGTTTCGTTGGTAATTCAGATAATTTCGAAAGCTAATCCTGTCTAATCCACCTACCTTTCACAGACAAATTCACATAATCGCACAGCAAATGAATATACATATATAGAGCAACTATACTCATATAATAGTAAGCACGTGAATCGGAACAATTACAACATTACGAAAATATACTTTGAAATTGTAATCTTTAATATACACGTATCATGTTCGCTTCATAATTTTTGGCGTTTATGTGGATATAATAATTTATAATACGTTTTTTTAAAGCAGATGTATAAATATATAAATAAAATATCAAAATAGCGGTTTATTTAATTTTAAAGATATTTATGTTTAATTAATAATACGTATTTAATTAAAATCTACTTATTTACAATTAAGTTAGGTTATCCAAATTTATAATTCGTATATATTTCACGGAACATATCGCGACAATTTATTTTAACTTTGAGCTTAGCACAAAGTAAGAAAATTCCTGACAACTTCCTGTGTAGGCTGTATATCTCTTCGGGCGGAGGGCAAAGTCTGTTATCCAGTATCGTTGGAACTAGTGACTGCATTCTAAAATTAATTATATATTTTATATATCCATAAATAAAAGCGAAAGATTTGAAACTTAACGCAAATTGATTTTACCGTTTGGTCACATTCTGTCCTCCAAAATCATAGTATTCATGATTTTTATCGAATACTTGTCCTAAAACCATCACTGCATCTACATGAGCTTCCTCCATAATCTAACGTTAATACAAAACAAATTTATAAACATGAATACAATGCATTTTATTTACTATTTTAATATTAGGAAATTTTTACTTTAGATTCATATCCTGTAAGAAATCCCATTTCTTTGGATAAATTTAAAATTTTATCACGGTCACCTTCACTAGCAGCATAAATTATTTCTATGTATTTGTCCATAAACGATTTTTCGTACTCTCGAGACGCACCAAAATCTAGTAATACTAACTGAAAATTACATAAAACAGAAATATGATATTTAAGGCTTTCGCAGCCTGAGTTTATACTAAAATAGAAATATGTAATTAATTATAATAAGAACTATAATGCCACTATATTAAAATATTTAAATACAAACCTGTTTTGTATTAGTATTATAAAAAAAATTCGACCAATTTGGATCTGTTTGCATATAGCGGAAAACAAATAATTCTTTGAGACACAAATGCATTATCAATTTGCAAATATGTTCTCTGACTTCCGTATCCATATTTGTACATTTATCTACCGGAATACCTTCTACCATCTCAGTTGTGAAAACTTGATACGTCGACAGCTCGTCTAAATATAAAATTAAGTAACTGTTCCAATATACGGTCTATTAACTTTTTTAATTCATACCTATTACTGCAGGAACATAATAATCCGAATAAGGCTCCACGAATCTTTTATATTTCTTTGTACATTCCGCTTCTCTTACGTAATCAACTTCCCATGCAAGTTCTCGTTTCGCAACTTCCACTAGATTATCTATAAACATACCTTTTGGAAAAATATCCCAAACCTATGGAAATTAACTAATTTCTTATCATTTTGTTGAAAACTAAAAACGGGAAAGAATAAAACATACAACATATATTATTACCTTTAGTATGCCTACTAAATTTTCAACATCGCTTTGAATTCCCGTAGCTACACCAGGATATTGAATCTTAATTGCTACGTCCTGACCATTTAATAAAGTACCATGATGCACTTGGCCTGTAAGTTTTTTGCGATACTAAATGTTCTTGGAAATGATTTCGCATTATTTTATTTTTTTGATTGTTAAAGGTATTTACCAATAGAAGCAGCAGCGAATGGTTTATCTTCGAACGTAGCTAATTTTTTTCTCCAATCGTGTCCAAGTTCACCGATCAATACTTTCTAAAAATAATTTAGGAAGTCGTAAGAGATACGCTAAATAGGTCAGTTTTAGTAACTGTCTTTATTGAGATTAGAAAAAATTGTTTAAATTGATTCCTCGTCTTATTTTACGTATAAAAGATAAGAAAGAAAATCATTGAAAATTCAATAGTTTTCAAGACATTTTTCTTTCTTTGAAAATTGGCAATAAATATTCAAACGTGTCACCATTACGTTGTACACATTTTCCTATCCCTTTGATTATGTTTTTCATTATACTATTTAATTGTTCGCTGCTGATGTCTAAACAATTATGCGTAATTCTGTCCTTTAACTTATTCACTAAAGTTAAAGGTTACGAGCAAATCTTATAAATTATTATCTCTTGAAACGGAGCTATTTCAAACTGAATTGTATATTTCTAAATGAGAGAAATAATTAAACAGCCTAGTAAATAGCTAATTACGGTATAGGACTTGAAGGAGCAGGAAGCCACATGCATTAATTTTTACATGTAAAAAAGCTGCAAGTTACATTTTCCTATTATCTAATCGAGTTCAAATTTTATATAAATTAGAACCATACAGGAAGGGGACTGTTTTACACGTAAAAGTTCGAAACTTGTTTTCTCGTTATAGTTAAGGAATCGTTTCAAAGAATGAGACGAAGAAATTCTGAGATCAAAAAATAAGGACCATCGTAATATACGTACGTATACAGTAGTTTTTATGTTATTAAAGCGAGTTAAATACCTCAACTTGCCACGTTGGCATAAAATCAGCACTCTGTCTAACTCGTTCAAAAACTTTTTGTAATTCGGGATTAATAGTGTTCTCATCTTGAATACTTAAAATTTGTCCAATTTTCAAGGCTGCACCTGCAATAAAGCAATTATGGGACATCCAGAAATATAATACATATATTACTGATATTTACCTCTTACTTTACACAAAGTTGAAACTATTCTTTCTGCATTTGCCTTTGTAAGAAACATATTATCAAACGTGTCTCCAAGACTTTGTCTTTTTAACCCGAATGTTCTGCGTGTATACTCTGCTACTGTACCAACGCCAAGACCAATTCCTAACGTTCCAAAGCTTATCATTCTCTGCAATCTGGTAGATGGAACTTTTTGTGCTTTTGCATTAGACGATAGCTTTACAACAAAGATTGATCCGTTAGTCGTAACATAGAAATTATGTGAAATGTATAAAATAACTTACAGTTTGTTTTGGTTTAACAGATGATCTAACTTGAGGTTTCTCTGAGATTTTTACATTTTCCTTTGCTTGTTCTACTAATACCCGAGGATCAACTTCTGACGCAATATTTTCTTTTGTATTCTGATTTTTTATACTCTGTTCATGTTCAATTTCTAATCTTCTTAAAATTTCTTTATCTTTATCTGAAAGTTCGATCTTAGGTATTTCATCTTCCAGCTTGGTAATTGTTTCAATTTTTTCTTTCACAGTTGTATATTTTCTTATCAGAGGTTTATCTCGTTTTCCTAGTACATTATTCGCACCATCAGATTTAACATTCTGTTGTAAACTTGCAGCATTCGTTTCAATCGGTACTTCTTTCGGATCTTTCGCAGGATTGTAAACATACAACTTAGTTTTGTTGTGTTTCGTAGGATCGAATTGGTCCGTTGGCATCCCCATGGTTTCATTACTTTTTATTTTAATAAATTCCATTATGCCCTTTTCAACGATATTTATTCGTTCTGCTACTTCTTTGAGTTCTCTTGCCACTTGACTCTGCATATGCAAACGTAATAAAAAGAAAATTATAATATGTTTACAAAGTTGATATAATTTGATAAACAACATATAATATATATCACTTTATACAAAAATCATATATTATATATGTTACAAATAAACGCACAGGTAACCCTTCTATAACACGGTAGATAGGTTTCTAGAAAATGTCGTGTTGTGTGAAACCGTGTTATATGAGATCCAGAGCCAGTATAAAAAGGGGAGTTACGTTCCGTAAACTTATTAAAAACAAATATTTTCTTTAATTCTACGTAAGCAACTAAATTTTTTATGAAAAATATAAATATATGTATAACACAAAACAAAAAATATTATTTTAATTTAAAGCAACCTTAATTTAATAAATTATAATTTGTTTATGCAGGGTGTTTGGCCAAAAGGAACAACTTTTTCAATATTATTAGAATTTCTACATAGTCTCCATTAAAATACACGTTGTTTGCATTTTGAAAAATTAATCCAATCCGTTCAAGAGTTATAACGTTTTAAAGATTCGCATGAAATTTCAGGGAAGCATTTCTTGGCCTCACATTAGATTTTCGGTAAAGAATTTTTTTCTCGAAAACAGTGCAGTAAAAGTACAGTGTTATAAGTAGACTGCGGATGTTTATGCATTTATGGGAAATTTTAATCCTCAAAAAAACTACAGAATGCATTTAATATGCAAAAATATAAGAAATACTTAAAGTAAGATACGAATTATTATATTTAGGGGTTGAGACAGCCCTACGCGAAGCTTCCGTTTGTTTAATTCTATTAATAAAAATATGAATTTGCATAAAGATCCGCAGTCTAGTTATAAGATACAGTGTCGTAGGAGAGTTCTCGCAATTTATGAATCGTGTTACAGCGAAACCGTGTTACAAGATGCCGTGTTGTAGGAGGGCTACCTGTAATTGATTTTCATTAATTATAGAGGTAATATTTTATATAGTTTTGCAACTTACAGGAACCTTACTTGGTTCTATATTATTTAATTTCTTTATACCATTAGCTAAACAATTATCTGCGCCAGCTTTCAAACTTGATGTTTGTATTAAATGCTTAACTGCATCTTCTTGATGCTTTATGACGGCATTAGTTACTATCTTAACTCCTCTGAGTACACCGATGAGATCAGACATCCATGGTTGAGACATTTCTATGATGAATTTTAACTAAAAACTGACAATTAAAAGATTCATTGTGATAATATTTTTCATACAAATTAGGAGAATATTTAAACAATTTTATTTATACTGTGTTTTAGTTTAAATTTTGTTACTTTGTAAAAGAACGTAGTAAATAATTCTTGTTAAATTATTAAGGAACGGTACGAACTCAGAAACTGACGTATTTGCATACAAATAGTAATGTCTATATCGCGTACTTAAAATAGACGTGGACCTTGGAAGGCACAAATAAGGTTATAGTAAAATGTGTTAATAATTTTCACTATTTCGAAGTTTTTCGTACTAGTTTAATGAAATTTGTGTGTAGTAATAGTTTCTCGTAACGATATATAATTTATTAATACGAATTTTTTAAATACTCATACAATTTAAAAATATTCGCATAAGACTGCAATTATACTACTTACATATAATACAATCTTTTTCCTAGAACTTTGTGAGCACGTGTTTCCGTCCTGTATCATTTTCTTTATAAAGTGTCATTTAATTAGGATCGAAAAGTATAAAAATATACATCATATTTGTTACAGTTATTATAATTATTCCGTAAAGTTAGTAAATATAGAAAGTTTTCCCCCTACGGTAAAAGTGGATGTCAGTATCTTGCAGGATTGCAATTTCTCGCAAATATAACGTTTATTACTACAGACCAAACAGAACACTGAAATCGTATCGCGTACAACGTTCCAATATTTAATTTAGTCTAAGACTTTTACTAACTTTTTTTATAACTTTCCTATATTCGTTTTTAACGAAATTATATTGTATACTAAAATTATTTTGCAATTTAATTTAATAAACGTATTACAGAATAATTTCTGAGCTTTATAATTATATTAATTTATTAACTTCTTTTTATGTCCTATTTCTTTTACCATATGAAGTTAATTTTAGACATAATATTTCTTAAAGAACGATACTTTGTAACAGAAATTTAAAACAGAGTAAGTTCCTCCATTTCTATATTCTTTAACCTTTATGTCAACAGCAACATACCCGGGTATATTTTGCGTTTTCAAATCGCTATATCTTGGAAACTAGTAATCGGATCGACCTGAAATTTCATGATATCCTCAACAAAAGTGTTTTACACCATATTCCCAAGTCTGAGTGGGATTGGACAACCAGGACCATAGTTATTGTTAATTGAAAAGTAAACTTTATTTTTCATCAAATTCTTAAAATAGTACAAGAATATAATGATAATATAATAAAATAATACATATAAAATAAAAAATTTATGAATAAATTGGAAATTATTAAGTTTTTAACTACATCTATTGCATTGCGGCATATTAGTAGAATGTTCTGCGCACACGGGTCTTTTGCATAATGTGCAGGCTTTCCTTGTTGGGCGACGTTTGGCGCATACGTAACAATTACCCTTTGTTTTGATTCTGCCCGTACTGTCACGTTCTTCCTCGCCTCCTACTGCAGCATCCATTATCCTCAAGGGATCGCCGTTTATTGCTTCAATGGCGTTGCGTGTAGAGAATATTCTGGATATTCGACTATTATTGGTTCTTACTTCTATTTCAGGTTTCGTCAGTTGTTCACTAAGTTGATGAAGGAACATCCTACGCCGGCTTGTAGAAGCCTTCTGGTCTGGGTTCTTTTCCACGTAAATTATGTACGCAGCAAAGGCAGCCACATCCAGAATATTATAAAAAAATGCCAAAGGCCATCTATTCGTTCGCCGCTTAGTTGAATATTCTGCCAGGCATTTATCCATGTTATCAACGCCACCTTTGGTTTTGTTGTAATCTAATATCATTAGTGGCTTCTTGTTTGGACCTTCTACTTCGGTTGTGTAATGCATTGTTGAAAGGACCACAACTGATTTATTTTTCTTCTGCACGTAGGAACACATGGTAATATTGTTGCTGAAACCAAATATGGTGGATTCCACTGCACGTCCTTTTGCAATAGGAAATTGTGGTGCCACAAATGTTCGTCTTTTATTTACTGTGCCCAACATCGATAATTTTAAAAATATACATCATATTTGTTACAGTTATTATAATTATTCCATAAAGTTAGTAAATATAGAAAGTTTTCCCCCTACGGTAAAAGTGGATGTCAGTATCTTGCAGGATTGCAATTTCTTGCAAATATAACGTTTATTACTACAGACCAAACAGAACACTGAAATCGTATCGCGTACAACGTTCCAATATTTAATTCAGTCTAAGACTTTTACTAACTTTTTTTATAACTTTCCTATATTCGTTTTTAACGAAATTATATTGTATACTAAAATTATTTCGCAATTTAATTTAATAAACGTATTACAGAATAATTTCTGAACTTTATAATTATATTAATTTATTAACTTATTTATATGTCCTATTTCTTTTACCATATAAAGTTAATTTTAGACATAATATTTCTTAAAGAACGATACTTTGTAACAGAAATTTAAAACAGAGCAAGTTCCTCCATTTCTATATTCTTTAACCTTTATGTCAACAGCAACATATCCGGGTATATTTTGCGTTTTCAAATCGCTATATCTTGGAAACTAGTAATCGGATCGACCTGAAATTTCATGATATCCTCAACAAAAGTGTTTTACACCATATTCCCAAGTCTGAGTGGGATTGGACAACCAGGACCATAGTTATGGTTAATTGAAAAGTAAACTTTATTTTTCATCAAATTTTTAAAATAGTACAAGAATATAATGATAATATAATAAAATAATACATATAAAATAAAAAATTTATGAATAAATTGGAAATTATTAAGTTTTTAACTACATCTATTGCATTGCGGCATATTAGTAGAATGTTCTGCGCACACGGGTCTTTTGCATAATGTGCAGGCTTTCCTTGTTGGGCGACGTTTGGCGCATACGTAACAATTACCCTTTGTTTTGATTCTGCCCGTACTGTCACGTTCTTCCTCGCCTCCTACTGCAGCATCCATTATCCTCAAGGGACCGCCGTTTATTGCTTCAATGGCGTTGCGTGTAGAGAATATTCTGGATATTCGACTATTATTGGTTCTTACTTCTATTTCAGGTTTCGTCAGTTGTTCACTAAGTTGATGAAGGAACATCCTACGCCGGCTTGTAGAAGCTTTCAGGTCTGGGTTCTTCTCCACGTAAATTATGTACGCAGCAAAGGCAGCCACATCCAGAATATTATAAAAAAATGCCAAAGGCCATCTATTCGTTCGCCGCTTAGTTGAATATTCTGCCAGGCATTTATCCATGTTATCAACGCCACCTTTGGTTTTGTTGTAATCTAATATCATTAGTGGCTTCTTGTTTGGACCTTCTACTTCGGTTGTGTAATGCATTGTTGAAAGGACCACAACTGATTTATTTTTCTTCTGCACGTAGGAACACATGGTAATATTGTTGCTGAAACCAAATATGGTGGATTCCACTGCACGTCCTTTTGCAATAGGAAATTGTGGTGCCACAAATGTTCGTCTTTTATTTACTGTGCCCAACATCGATAATTTTAAAAATATACATCATATTTGTTACAGTTATTATAATTATTCCATAAAGTTAGTAAATATAGAAAGTTTTCCCCCTACGGTAAAAGTGGATGTCAGTATCTTGCAGGATTGCAATTTCTTGCAAATATAACGTTTATTACTACAGACCAAACAGAACACTGAAATCGTATCGCGTACAACGTTCCAATATTTAATTCAGTCTAAGACTTTTACTAACTTTTTTTATAACTTTCCTATATTCGTTTTTAACGAAATTATATTGTATACTAAAATTATTTCGCAATTTAATTTAATAAACGTATTACAGAATAATTTCTGAACTTTATAATTATATTAATTTATTAACTTATTTATATGTCCTATTTCTTTTACCATATAAAGTTAATTTTAGACATAATATTTCTTAAAGAACGATACTTTGTAACAGAAATTTAAAACAGAGCAAGTTCCTCCATTTCTATATTCTTTAACCTTTATGTCAACAGCAACATATCCGGGTATATTTTGCGTTTTCAAATCGCTATATCTTGGAAACTAGTAATCGGATCGACCTGAAATTTCATGATATCCTCAACAAAAGTGTTTTACACCATATTCCCAAGTCTGAGTGGGATTGGACAACCAGGACCATAGTTATGGTTAATTGAAAAGTAAACTTTATTTTTCATCAAATTTTTAAAATAGTACAAGAATATAATGATAATATAATAAAATAATACATATAAAATAAAAATTTATGAATAAATTGGAAATTATTAAGTTTTTAACTACATCTATTGCATTGCGGCATATTAGTAGAATGTTCTGCGCACACGGGTCTTTTGCATAATGTGCAGGCTTTCCTTGTTGGGCGACGTTTGGCGCATACGTAACAATTACCCTTTGTTTTGATTCTGCCCGTACTGTCACGTTCTTCCTCGCCTCCTACTGCAGCATCCATTATCCTCAAGGGACCGCCGTTTATTGCTTCAATGGCGTTGCGTGTAGAGAATATTCTGGATATTCGACTATTATTGGTTCTTACTTCTATTTCAGGTTTCGTCAGTTGTTCACTAAGTTGATGAAGGAACATCCTACGCCGGCTTGTAGAAGCCTTCAGGTCTGGGTTCTTCTCCACGTAAATTATGTACGCAGCAAAGGCAGCCACATCCAGAATATTATAAAAAAATGCCAAAGGCCATCTATTCGTTCGCCGCTTAGTTGAATATTCTGCCAGGCATTTATCCATGTTATCAACGCCACCTTTGGTTTTGTTGTAATCTAATATCATTAGTGGCTTCTTGTTTGGACCTTCTACTTCGGTTGTGTAATGCATTGTTGAAAGGACCACAACTGATTTATTTTTCTTCTGCACGTAGGAACACATGGTAATATTGTTGCTGAAACCAAATATGGTGGATTCCACTGCACGTCCTTTTGCAATAGGAAATTGTGGTGCCACAAATGTTCGTCTTTTATTTACTGTGCCCAACATCGATAATTTTAAAAATATACATCATATTTGTTACAGTTATTATAATTATTCCATAAAGTTAGTAAATATAGAAAGTTTTCCCCCTACGGTAAAAGTGGATGTCAGTATCTTGCAGGATTGCAATTTCTTGCAAATATAACGTTTATTACTACAGACCAAACAGAACACTGAAATCGTATCGCGTACAACGTTCCAGTATTTAATTCAGTCTAAGACTTTTACTAACTTTTTTTATAACTTTCCTATATTCGTTTTTAACGAAATTATATTGTATACTAAAATTATTTCGCAATTTAATTTAATAAACGTATTACATAATAATTTCTGAACTTTATAATTATATTAATTTATTAACTTATTTATATGTCCTATTTCTTTTACCATATGAAGTTAATTTTAGACATAATATTTCTTAAAGAACGATACTTTGTAACAGAAATTTAAAACAGAGTAAGTTCCTCCATTTCTATATTCTTTAACCTTTATGTCAACAGCAACATATCCGGGTATATTTTGCGTTTTCAAATCGCTATATCTTGGAAACTAGTAATCGGATCGACCTGAAATTTCATGATATCCTCAACAAAAGTGTTTTACACCATATTCCCAAGTCTGAGTGGGATTGGACAACCAGGACCATAGTTATGGTTAATTGAAAAGTAAACTTTATTTTTCATC